TAAGTCTTAGCCCATTTTTTCTGCATATATTTCGTATAGTTTTGATGTTATTTTGCAAATAGTTTTTGCTTTCCCTGCAGAGCATTGGTGCAACCGAGATAGTTTCCGGTGGAACCGGGTGTTTCGGATACAGGGCAGTTCATGTACCAGAAGGGAGCAGCATTTGGTTCCTCGTTGGGGAATGGACATATTGAAAATTGGGCTGACTCTGTCCTTGCCGATAATAGCCAGCAGACTGACACTTCTACTGATGTTGACACTGACCATAACACCCAGGTTTTGTCTCTCTTCTTTCCTTTGTTCATGTAAAGTTGCAATGGGAACATCTTTAGGGTGGATGAGCATAGTTGTTTATGATAATGAATAGCTGCTTAAATTAGAGTTATGATGTCGCTCTAAGTTGTTTGGCTTTGGCGAAATAGTATTTAACTTGTGATTAGTGCTTGTTGATACTTAATGGTGTTTAGCTTAATGGACTTCAACATAGACCTGTAATGGTGGATTTGGTGGATCAGTCCAAGTCGAAATGTGGTGATCAAAAGGTTGTTAAGCATTGCCGAGTTGTTGTGTAAATCCGTTTTAATGATTGTCATCTTTGTGAGTTCTTACATCTTTGTCCCTTCAGACGCTTCACCGACTTGCTCAGAACCGAGAAGCGGCAAAGAAGAGTAGATTGAGGAAAAAAGTAATGTGTAATTTGGTTCTTTATTAGTTCTTACCTATGCTGCATAGATGAAGCATGTTCGGATCAGTAATGGGTTTTGTTTTTTCGACAGGCGTATGTCCAGCAACTTGAGAGTAGTCGACTTAGGCTTTCAGAGCTAGAGCAAGAGCTTCAAAGGGCACGACAGCAGGTATGAAAATGTATTCTTATCATCTTAATCATCAGTGTTTAAACCAAAGTACTTTTGTTCCTAAGTATCTTTCACTCTAATGCAGAGCGCATTTATCACGACCGGACTTTCTGGGGACCATGGTCATTCGGTCATGGGAAATGGTGAGGAGATTTTAGATACTGTTAACTATTTTTTTAATCATACCTCTATATGCTTCATAATATTGCTAGAGGCATATGGTTGAAGCCTGGTGTACCTATTACCGTATATAGTTCTTACTCTTTGTTATGCTTCCAGCAGCCCTGGTGTTTGACATGGAATATGGTCTCTGGGTCGACGAACATCAACGGCTGATAAATGACCTAAGATCAGCTGTAAATTCTCATATGGGGGATAATGAATTATGCATTCTTGTCGGGGGTGTCATGGCGCATTTTGATGAAGTTTTCAGGTTAAAAAGCATTGGTACCAAGGCAGATGCATTTCACATGCTCTCTGGTATGTGGAAAACGCCTGCAGAGAGGTGTTTTATGTGGTTGGGAGGATTCCGTTCATCTGAACTTCTCAAGGTGATTTACTACCGGATAATTCGGTACTACTATAGTGATGTATTTTTTTTGAGAAGTATCTGCTTTGGTTGACAACATTTTGATCTCGGAACTTATAGATCCTCGGAAACCACCTCGAGCCTTTGACGGACCAGCAGTTAATGGGAATATGTAATCTGCAGCAGTCTTCTCAACAGGCTGAAGACGCCTTATCACAAGGAATGGAAGCTTTGCAACAATCTCTAGTAGACACCCTTTCGTCTGCATGTTTAGGTCCTGCTTCCGGAAACGTTGCGGACTACATGAGCCAGATGGCGATTGCAATGGGAAAACTTGCCACATTGGAGAACTTCCTTCACCAGGTAAACAACGCCCGTTGTGAAATTAAGCGCTTATCACAGCTATTGACTAGTCATTTTGATATACAGGCTGACCTTTTGAGACAGCAAACTTTACAACAGATGCATAGAATTTTAACCTCTCGACAAGCAGCCCAGGCACTTCTAGTGATTAGCGATTACACTTCTCGGCTTCGAGCACTTAGCTCTTTATGGTTAGCCCGACCCAGAAACTGATATTCTTTCATTCCATGAAAGCTCATTTCCATGTCATTTGGGAGTAATTTAGAAGTGTTGTATATTAAGTAGGATCTGAGGAATTTGTTGTGATCGTAGGTAGTGCAATTTCACATGTGAGGCAAAACTTTGACAGTGTTGTAATCACCTAAGTGTAATATTGTTCAATGCTTGCATGATCAAAGATCACCCGAAATGTCGTTTCTTCTGTGTATTACAGTAATTAAATTATTATTTTTTAATAAAAATATTACTTGAAAATTTAAATATAATCAGAAACCCACGACTAAAAATAAACGAAAGAACAAAGATAAACAGTTCACTTAGAAGAAAAATGTGCTTGCATAAATATTTAGCTCTTTTGAAATTACGGTTCTCATGATAATCTATACACTTCACGTTAACATGAAATTGTTAATTTTATATATCATATTAAAAAAATTAAAATTGATTTTAACTTAACTTTTAGTAAGATTTCAAATTAAAAATTAGTGATTAAATTTTTCCCCAATAAATAAAATTATTAAAATAAGTGTTTAAATTATATTGTTTATCATGAATAAGTGTTTAAAGTATTTTTTGACTTATTCCGGTTCTTAATGTTATAAACATTATCATTTTAGATATCCCGTCATCAACAACATTAATTTTTTTATTAAGTGACACTTGTCACACTTTAGTGATTTTAAAATTTATTTTTAAAAATATTTAAAAATATTATTATATTTATAAAAAAACACTATTTTTCTTAAATAATAAAAAACTCCATAATCCCTCAAATCTCCAAATCTTAATCTTAATTCATCGTGGTCAATGTAATCTATGTCATCCTCCTAGTTATACATCATCATACTTATCTTCAATTGGCTGTCTAAATAGCGAGGAATCATGGTTTTCATCATAGGGTTTACGGAGTATAAAACACCGATTCACCATCGGATCAAGATTTCATAGGGGTTTTGATCGCCGGGGTCGTGAGGTTGAGTGGAGCTCGTCGACGGCAAATGATGATGGCCATCGTAGGTTTATGGGTTTAAATAAAAATTTTAAAATTACTATATTGTGACATGTATCACCTAACAGTGAAATTAACACCGTTGACGTTTGGGCACCTAAAGTGATAACGTTATGCACATGATTAGTCAAATAATACTTTAGGTAGCAATTTGTGAAAAGTGATTTAGTTTGGGCAATTTATTTTAATCACCGAAAGCTTAATCACTCAACTATAGTACAAATTTTTTATTATATTGAACTTAATACTTAATTATATTATTATTAAATTAAAATCTAATTTTTCACTTCATTAGAAATAAAAAATATTTTATATATTTTTATAAAAATTATATGAAATAATTTTAAAAAAGTTATACATTCTAAAAATATTTATTTATTTTTAAAATCTAATTAATTAATTATTTTAAATATTACTATTTTTAAATTATCTATTTATTTTTAAATAATTTAAATTTAGGATAAATTATACGTTTGGTAATATTATTTTAAATAAATAAATAATATGATTTTAAAAAATAAATAAATATTTAAAATATTTTCATAATGTGATAAATATTTTTTTAGAATAATTGAATATAAATTTTATAAAAACATAACGGTAATTATTTAATTATTTTTTATTTTAAAATAAATTAAAAAATTATTATTTCATTTAATAATGATACAAGCAAGTGTTAAGTTTGATATAATAAAAAATATATTTGCATTATAGTCGAATGACTAAACTTTCGACCATTAGTTTAAAGTGTCACATATTCGAATTTTATAATCATTGGAAAATATTGATTTTGTGGTGATATTATTATATAAGTTAAATACAAAATATGGTAAAATTAACATAAATGACTAGCTTAATTCAATGGCTAGGTGCCTTATATTTCATGTAAGAGGCCTAGATTCAATTCATGCTAAGAGTAAGAATATTTACTTTATCCTCATAGTTGGTGACACGTGTCATCATTTAATTGTTTGAATAAAATTAATTAAAAATATCGACGCAAAAATAAAAAAAATGACGTGGAAATAAAAAATTGGCATGTCATGCCACATCATTATTGTCATTAATGGTTTTGAAAAAAATAAAGTTTAGGTACTAAAACAAAATAAAAATGAGTGTAAGTACTAAAAATATAATTTACCCTTTTAATATTTACTTAATAAGAACATTTTAATTAATGATATGTTTTGGTACGTCACTTTAATAATATGTTATAGTATGCAACATACGCTGTAGACTCATCCTTGTATGGCCCCGTATAGAAACCTTGAGACATCTATAGTAACCTTCCTATCCCATGTGAAAGATTCTATGTAATAATAATCAGCATGTTTGGGTTGATTCATGTTCAAATTAATAAAATTATAATTTCAAAATAGTAATAATAAAGTTATATTAGAAGGATGTCGAGAATTTATTTAAATAAATAAATTATTTTGGAAAATAATTATCAAAGTCGTTCTTTGTTGGGAAAATAGGGACTAGTAATACTAAGAATCAAAATAAAAGAAAAGGAAAAGCATAAATCAACCGAAGAAATATAAATTACCAAAAATAATACCAAGAAAATAATACAAAGTTATAATAAACACTTTTAAAAATCAATATTAATTTAATGTGAGATTTGTAAAAGAAATTTAATGTGAGATTTATTAATAATACAAAGACACATACCATACATTGATTGAGTATTCATTATTATATGCCTATAAATATAATATTTATTTTTTCTCAATACATGCGTTATATGCAACTCTATCCAATTTGAGTTTGTGTTAACACATAATATGTATACTTATAATGTAATTCTTTTCTATAGATTAAATTTATTTAATTTCTACTTTCGTTGAGCATTGCGTCTACTTGGACACTTTTGTCTACCCAAACTTTTTCCAATCTGAAGTATGTCTCCCGAATAATACTTGCCACCAGAAGATGTCTAGTCCCTTTTAGCACTAAATTGATACACTCGACAAGATTGGTTGTCATATGATTGTAACGTCGACTTGATCGTCATATGCATGTGTCAATCTTTCTCAGGGTATCTCAGCTGCAAAGTTATACATCTTCTCCATACTTTCTCAAATTTTTCAGTCCTGCACGGAAGCTCGGTTGTAGTAATGCGTAGCCTGAAAAAATAGTTACCTGTAAGTATAATAATTTTAAACGAAGATCAAGACCAAAAAACAAAGGGTAAAACTGAATAAGTTACCTATGTTGATAATCTCTTTCTTTATCTTCTTATTCTTGAACATCGTCATAGCATTTGAAGCAATATGCCGTATGCAATACGCAAGAAATACATGCGAAGGTGACCATCTACTTCCCGGTCTGTCAATTGTGGCCAACAACCCAAGTGAACGGTCTGAAATCATACAAACCCCATCTTGAGTGACAAGATGGGAACGCAAGTTTGACATAAAGAAATTCCACGTTTCCTCAGACTTATTTTTAACAATGACGAAGGCAATGTGGAAGATGTTTCTGTCACCATCTTGTGCAACAGCTATCATAAGGATGTGTTTGTATAAGTTGTACAGAAAAATGTTATCGACTTGAACCATCTGTTTGTAGTAACGAAAGCCTTCAATTTGTGACTTGAAAGCCCAAAATAAGCCTCCAAAAACTCTCTTCCTAGGGATACATTGTCCATTAAATTTTGTTGCAGGATAAGTGTAGGAGTGAACAATGGTCCTTGGGATGAAATATTCCATTGCGTGCAACAGATGTGGCAATTCATTATACGATTGATCCCAATCACCATACAGTAGTGTTATAGCTTTCCGTTTGGCCATACAGGACTTGTAATAAGACGAAATATACCCAAATGTATTTCGTATTGATGCCACAATCATTGATACTAGGATCCTTGGATTTTTCTCCTCTAGTAGCTTCACGTATGCACAAATGACATCGGAGTCTAAATGTTTGTGGCTTGTGTGAAGGAGTTGAATGTGCAACTGTGTTGGTTGTAGAACCTTGTCGCTTCCCACAACATCTTTCACTGTAGGTATGAGACACATATCCTCCACTTACAGCCGAAGTTGTTGTTAATACATCTAACAAAATATGTCTTCTAGTCAGACTCCACAACAGTGAATTTCATATGAGTTTTGATACAAAACGTCTTCACAGCTAGTTGCGCGTCCTTCTTACTCTCAAACTGTGACCCAACTCTAAACTCCATCGATCCTTTATCCGATCCTCCAGTGGGTTGCATATATATCGGGCATAAAATGAACCTCAGAATTCCTCATGACATCATAGTTTATCTCATGCATTGCAACTGTATGAAGATATTGAGGCATCTGGGGAGGATGAACTTTCTGATTGCATGGTTGTTGGTGGCTGTGCCAAAACTGGAGGAGCATTCTACATTGTTTGGCTACGAGAAACGGTTGTCTCCCATATATCACCTTTTATATCAAAGGCTTGTCCATCTGAAGCAGCCTCGGCAATATCAGATATTTCATCTATTATTAGTGTGTCATCGTCCATCATAACTGGAACAAAAGTTTCATTATCCTTGCTAAAATCACCAAGGATTTCACCGAATTTCCTGACGAGGTTATCTACATCTTTTGATGGTCCTGTTTCTGCGGTCATCGGTGCAATAGTTGATAAAGTATGAACATATGCAGTTTCAGCAATAATATCAATCATTTGATTATTGGAAGATTGATGAAGGCTAACCATAACAACTACATCGTCGTCATCATCGATCAGGATTGCTCCATATTTGAGTGGAGTCTCTGAAATGATGTTTCGATATCTCAAACTTGAAACATAACCTCTAATTTTTTTTATTTTCATCTTCATTTGTCGATGAGATACATCTACTGGGAACATCATGTTCACGGGCCTCTGTGACATGAACTGAACACCATCTTCAGTTTCGATAACTTCACCGTTTGGGTGGACGATTGTGAAAAAAATTGTTTGCCATAGCTTCAGAGAGATATTGGTTTTTTCTTGTTCAATACAATTGTAAAAATAACAAGTCTTGTGAAGATTCATCTGAAGTAAGCCAATTTAAAACAAATACGACCAATCATTAATTACTATTCAACAACTCTCCAGTGAAATGTCATCTCAGTAGGCCAAATAATGGTGGTGTATTATCATATTCTGCAACTTTTCAAATGTCATTAAATACATAATTTAAACAACTTTTCAGAATACAGGTGACATAATGGTGCATTATCATCTTCTGCAACTCTTCAAATGTCATTCAATGCATAATTTAAATATTTTTCAGAAAACTGGTGAAATAGTGGTGCATTATCATCTTTTGCAACTTTTCAGAGGTTATTCAATGCATAATTTAAACTACTTTTTAGAAAATGGGTGAAATAGTGGTGCATTATCATCTTTTGCAACCTTTCAGAGGTCATTCAATGCATAATTTAAATAACTTTATAGAAAACGGGTAAAATAGTGGTGCATTATCATCTTCAATAACTTTTCAGTGATGTATCAACTCAAGTCAAAAAACTTTTTTGTGTTTCATTTATTACTTCATATAAAAAAACGTGTGTTTCTCATAGGCCAAATAATGACCCATTTCACCAACTTTTCAATGCTCATTTAGTCATCTTAAGCAACTATTAATATGTGTGAGTTGAAAGTCATTTTACTCTGCTATTCTATTGAAGCAAAAAAACCCAAAACACCTTCAATCTTTCACTTTCAATGCTTGAGTTTTTTTAAACTTGTCAACTATTTGTGCAACTGTTTTTTACGATCTATAACCATCCCCCCCCCCAAAACACATTCAACTACACGAGTTAAAGTTCAATATATAAACAAGAGTTCTACTCAGAAGTAGTAGAAGAGTATATTCCTTATATTATAGATTTCCACTATCATGCACGAGGTTTCATCTAAGCGATGATGTAGACCTTGCTAGAATGATTGAGACATATTACTATCGCTCTTTCTCTAATGTCGATTTATTTGTAGCATTCGATGATCTCTACCTTGCTCGTACCATTGAGGATGTTGTTTCTAGCTCAAATATCCCACCAACTTAGATAAATGACTAAGAAAAAAATAGATGATGGAGATCCAGAAGTATGGTTACAATTCGTACATGAATGACAACAACAAAAAGAATGGGGGAATTGAAGAACTTAATCTTACCTCTAACAAGTCTACTGATTATGAATATTAAAACTTCTTGATCAATATTGCTATGTTAATGATTTTATTTAATGTTTATGGTGTTCGTAAGGTTAATCATATTTACATCCTTATGTTAATGTATTAAGTTTGTAGTTTTTTTCCTTCTAATTTGCATTTCTAAAAGTCTAATATAATGTTCATAGTTTATTGTTCTTTTCAACATAATCTACCACATTTTAGAGAGCAAAAAAGAAAAAAAATCTAACAAAACTCGTCACCTCGATATGACGAGTTACAATGTATTTTTTTCTAACATTAAATTCGCATAATAATCTGAAAAAATAATAATTTTTTAATATAACTTGTCACCTCGAGATGATGAGTTTCGTGGGAAATATTAAAATATTAGACCCGTAATATAAAAATTGTATCTCATGAAACTTATCATGTTGAGGTGACGAGTTTGCCCTGAACTGTAAAAAATTGTCGTATATCCCAAATTAATTTTAAGGTGCCCTATTGGGGCAAAAAAACCCAATTTAAACCTCACAGTCAACTTCTTTAGCTTGTTTAAATGGTTATAAATATTAAGGGTAAAGTACGCAAATGGTCCTCTAAGTATAGGGTATTGTTTTATTAACTCTATTGACTATTAAAAATAACAAAATGATCCTCCGACTATAGAATGTTACTTTGTTAAGTTCATCGTCTATTAAAAGTTACAAAATATTCACCAACTATTCATTATGTTCCAAACTCGTCATTTTCCATTAAAAGAATGGTGATTGTTTAAGTCGGACGTTAATATGATGACTGAGATATGATGATCGTTTGAAATTCTGAGATCAAATTTTATCATATCTCAATTAATAAGTTAATATTCAGCTCAGGATATCGTCCAATTTTCAACGAAAAATGATGAGTTTGGAACATAATGAATAGTCGGATGACTATTTTGTAACTTTAATAGTTGAGGGACTTAATAAAATAATACCCTATAGTCGAAGGACCATTTGTATACTTTACCCAAATATTAAGGAGTAATTATCATCAAAATTCAAGAATAAAAAAATAATATTCAATAACTAGTTGGTAGGTTCATATAGAATTAATGTATGAAAGTAAATTCCAGCTTAATTTATTACTGAAATATTGGGGTTCTTAGTGCAAAATTATTAGTATAATTAACTTGATTAAGATAGCTAACAAATCCAGCGAGGATTTTACTTTTTGTCATCACAAGTCAACTAAATGAAACCAACCATGGAAGATAATTCATAATTCGGAGGTTTCTTACGGAAGCTGTTCTCAATCTGATGTTGGGAGTAACCTACTATCTTACCTCCCTTTATCCCATGTATATATATATATATGGGGAAAAATGACAACCATTTTTTTGATTAAGCCCTTAAGTCAACCACGCCGGAACTCTTATCTCTTATAATTCAGACACAAAGACAAGACTTAGACACCAACCTAGTCGAAAATGGGAAGACTGCCGATGGAATCCCAATCTCAGTTCCAACATCTTTCTCCTCAGCCTCAGCCTCAAGCCGCCTTTTATCCTTATCCGCCGCCTTCACAGCAGCAGCAAGCCGCCGTAGTTTATCCGCAGCCTCAAAATAGTGTTAATGTTGTACAGGTTCCACCGTACCATACAACCAGTCCAATGTCACCAATGCCTCAAAGTCACCCTAATGTTGTTCCCACAACTGGTTCATTACATGGCGGAGTACCCGTCGGAACGCCCGTGCAACATCCGCCGATGCCTTCGCCACTAATAAAACCGGTTCACAATGTCCCTTGGACCGTCGGCCTCTTTGATTGCATGGAAGATCCGACCATCAGTGAGTCACCTTTATAACTACATTCTCATTATTCGTGTTTTATACATATTCAAATCGAATTTAATTATTTTCTGGTTTGGTTGCATGCAGCTCTTATCACAGCTGTATTCCCTTGTGTGACGTTTGGGCAGATAGCAGATGTACTTGACAACAGGAACACAAGTAATAATATAAAGGGTAAAGTATAGTAATGGTCACTGAATTTTTCTAAAGATTTTATTTAGGTCCCTAACTTTTAAAACTTGCAATACAGTCCCCCAACATTTAGTCTGTTTGCAATATGGTCCCCCAACATTTAGTCCGTTTGCAATATGGTCCCCCAACAGTTACGTCAGGGACCATATTGCAAATGGACTAAATCTAAAGGGACCATATTGCAAACGGATTAAATGTTTGGGGATTATATTGAAATTTTTAAAAGTTTGGAGACGTAAATGAAAGGTTTAGACAAATTCAGTGACAATTACTATACTTTACCCTTTATTTTAATCAGTATACATTGAGGTTATCCTTGTACTGAAGCTGAACCGGTTTGTCCTTTAAACCTGCAAGCTTGGCAGAGAGGCGAATACAGCGACGGCGTCACGTATGTCTTCCCCGTCCATCATTGGCATCGGCACACCTCGTTTCACGGGGCTAACGTAGTCCGGCAGGTAAGTCTTTCCCAATACTCCTTCCACGAGAGGGCTTACTTGGGTGAACTTGAACTGTGTCTCCAAATGTGCAAACGCATCATCAGCCGGCAACTGGTAATTGTGAACCTTGTTTTCATGTTCTCCGATGGCTCTAACTTTTACGTTCAATTCCACCAGCCCTGCAACCGTGACTTTAACGCCGTTGGTTTCATCGGTTCTTTCTACTATCACTTCTCTTTCCTCGCAATCAGTCCTCCATTCGACGTCTCCTTCCGTGGGGATGTTTACGGCTTCGCCGTCGAATTTTATGGTGAGAGCATCGAAGCCGTCATCCCATTTAGAGACTCTCTTTGCTGCTAGGACTAGAGTGTGAGTGTCGAACATCACCGCCAGGGCTTGCACCCAGGTGTAGTCTCGTGTCCGTCCTTCCGGTCGTGTTCCGATAAAATGCGCATTGATTTGGAGATTATTATCTGATACAATGACGAAGTTTCCTCCCTTGGCTCCATGGAAGTAGAACATAACTCCATCACCGCCAACAAACCTCGGATCATAACACAGCGACCCGTATCCATTACAGTTCGGCTTTCTCCCTGTCAAACAACTTCAATTCATCACCATACATACAAACATGTGTGTTTAATTATATACTTACATTTGCAGGTGACATCACATTTGCTGCTGCAATCAAAGAAGCATCCTTTGACCTTCTTATTCTTTTCGGGCTTCCTTTGAGGGCATTGGGTGGGACATGTGAGTACCTTTCCATTACAAGCTCCTCTTGCTTGGCAATAAACTCTTTCTCGTCCACTACTGCTCGGTGCCAAAACATCATAATGTGTTGAAGCAACATCATACGGTGCCTTCTTGCTGTTGCCTTTGCCTTTACCTTGCGCATTGATAGCTTCCATGGATATGAAAACTAGGGCAAGTGCCACCAGGAAGAAAGAGCATTTTCTACTGCTTCTATGTTACAGTCTTCACATTGTTTGTCTAGTCCTCAAGGTTATTCTCAGGTTATTCAACCAGCTATCTTCTCTAATTCTACACTGGTTTCTGCTGGGTTTAATCCTCAGAATGGCGCTCAGAGTACGACTTTTCCTCACATTCATATTCCTCATTTTCTCAGTCATTTGTTGTTGTCAGCACGCTTGCTACGTCTGTTCATGTTCAAGCTTTGACTGTTTCTCCAGTTTCTCTGGCAACCATGATATTCTGGATGATAATGCTTGGTATCCAGATTCAAAGGCTACTCACCACTTAACGAATGATATAGCTAGTTTGCAAATTGGTACCTCTGCTCCTACAACATGTAAGGTTCAAGTTGGGAATAGTAGTTTGCTGCCAATCAAGTATACTGGGCAGTCTTCTCTTCTTAATAGTTCTAGAGAATTTACTTTAAATAAAGTTTTATTCGTTCCTAACATTAATAAAAAAACTTTTTTCTGTGTCCAAATTCACTTAGGACAACAGGGCTGCTCTTGAGTTCCTTCCAGACTCGTGTGTTATGCGTGATTTAGATACACATAAAGTTTTGTTACAAAGCTTTGAGGAGAATGGGTTGTATAAGCTTGGCAAGTATGCTGGTGGTTTTCTGTTTAATAGTAATAAAGTTTCTGCTGCTAATAATAATAATAGGGTAAAGTATAGTAATAGTCACTGAACTTTTTTAAATCTTTCATTTAGATCTCCTAACTTTTAAAACTTGCAATATAATATCCGACATTTAGTCCGTTTGCAATATGGTCCCTCAACATTTAGTTCATTTTCAATATGATCCCTGAAGTAACTGTTGGGGGACCATATTGCAAACGGACTAAATGTTGGGGACTGTATTGCAAGTTTTAAAAGTTAGGAGACCTAAATGAAATCTTTAGAAAAGTTCAGTGACCATTATTATACTTTACCCTAATATAAATTAAAACTTTGGGTATTTTAGTTTTAAACCACTTGGATTGCTCTTTGACTAATACATATATGCAGCTTGTGCCACTAGTGGGATTGTTTATGCCTTTGCACCGTGTGTGGTGTCCGGACCCTACCAGAGAAAGCTCCGGCAGCGGTTTGGATTGGTAGAGGCGCCGGCCTCGGATCGGGTTATTCACTCCGTGCTTGAACATTGTGCTCTCTGTCAAGAATATCGAGAACTCAACAACCGAGGGATCAACCCTGCACTAGGTATTTTTTCTTCTTACAAACAAACTCCACCTAAATCACACAATATTTTTAAGTACGTTTATACAGTATTATCTGCAAAAACACACATTAATCACATCTAATAGTATGACATGTGCATGACCTGAGCTATCTCAGTAGTAAAAGAGTTGTTATTTTTTGAGTTCTCGGGTTCAAACACCAGGAATGTCGAAAATGTGAACGTATAATGTCAAAATGATTGAGAGTTATCTTTAAAAAAAATTAAATACTAAAACTAATAATTTAAATATTAAATACGTAGTTTATCCTTACTTTTTGTACAGTACATTATGGAAATTTGATGAAACAACAAACTGTAGCCCCAATGACGCCTCCAATGAATTAAATAATGAACTAAATCAACTTATGTATTGCTTGTCAAGTGATTTGAATCGAGTAATTATATTATTTTCTATTTGTTTTTTTCTTGTTAGTGCATTATTCCCCTATTTTATTAAAAATAATGATTTAAACAAGTTAACTATGACGACTTAAATAATATATTATTGTAGTATCTATAATTATACTTGTACGAAATCTATGGTTAAATTTATTGTTTATAATCTCTATTACTCTTACAATCTTGACTTAGTAAATTTTAAAGATAAAATATATAAATATTTTTTCGATTATAAGATTTTTTTTGTTAAATATAAGTCTACACAAACTCGCAAAATGATCATTGTTTGGATGTGGGTTTCCATGTTATCGTGGAGTTGAATAGTTTATAAGCGATTGAAGCAATAAATTAAGGCGGCAGAATCAAGTCGTAGTAGAATTACGTTGGTGTATCATGTTGTGGAGTTAATGAAACGAAACCGAGTTATTCAGTTTCAGCATGTTCCTCGTCAAGGGAATAAGTTAGCAGATTATTTAGTGAAAATGGCAGACCAGATCACACTCGAGTGTGTTAAGTGGACTGTTCTACCGGTGATGGTGTTACCCTTGCTGCATCAGGATCAGTCTCTGCATGAAGATCCGCTGCTGGCTGATGCCGTTTAATTGAGTTTTCTTTCAAGGATTTTGCCCAAAAAAATATCATTAAGTGCATTATAGGAACTAATTCAGTTATAATAATGTTCCATTACAAGTGAAACCATGTCGTTAAATCTGAATCTGTCTTCACACTCAGAACAACAATATTTTGTCCAAAATTTAAAAAGAAATGGGAGTTGCAGAAAAATCAAACTAGAGATCATTTATGGGATCAAGTATATATATATAATACTTCGTTTACAAGAATCAAACCAGAGATTATTTATGGACCAAGTAGTTTAGGCTAATGAAAGTACCACCACTCTAGACCTGGTTTAATTAAGATCTGAGGGCGAGGTTTTGGTTAACCTCGTTGTTTGGTACCTTCATGTTACGGTCCATGCCTTGATGTTCTTGCTCAAATGAATGTTCCAAGTGGCACTTAAACTCTCATTTCCTGCAAAACCATACCAGAAACCTGTCTGTAATATTTATTTGTTGTTTGGAAAATACGAAGAATTTATGTCTAGAGTTATTAATCTCTTCTTATCTCTTACATCGCGTGCATGAAAAGAAAAAACCCAGGCTCCTCCGTGGTTGTAACCCTAGATGATGATCAAAGCTTTCATACTTAAATTTGATAATAGGGATGGTAAATTTGGATGTAATGGTTTTAGACGAAATTCTTTATTATTTGGACGAAGAATCGTAATCGATAGTTTTTTTTTATAGAATAGCAAATTCAAGACAACGAGCAGTATATGGATGATGGGAAGAAAAGAGAAACCAGGCCACCCTCTTCTGTCATGTTTGGTGATTTATATTCTGACTTTTAATATTGGTGTCACGTATAGAGTCATGATAACTATTCGTATGTTAACATAATAAACCCTAAATACCTATAGTCCTGTGATTGCTTAAAACTTTTCAGATTTAAAGACATAGAATCAAACACTCAAAACATGAAAATGATTTCAAACCCTAAATCGACTCCCACGGTCTATTAAAGATGGTGGCATGGGCCAAATGAGCTTAGATTTGACGACGCCGGCAAGGTTCGATGTATATAATACAAGAAGTCGAAGGTTGTAAGAATACATACAGAGGGAATACATATATATAGGGGGATAATTTGGTGGTTGGATTGAATGACGTTGAGCCACCGGTCCTTGGTGAGAATACTTCAACCACCAAATTAAAATCTCTACTTGTTATTGTTAACGCACTGCCGGTGCGTGTCTTGACATTTTCTCCGACAGTACTTGAATGGAGATCAACTTTAACTTTGGGGACTGTAATATTCACCCCGACATGAAAACGATTTCCATGCCGAACCCTACTATGCATGCTTGTGGTTTCACTTCAACTGTTCACGAAACACTTTGTTTGGTCAGTTGATACGTGATGCGTTGCAGCTGTACCTCCCATCTTCATTTCCTTTTCTTCCTCGTATAAACAACCCATCAAGCTATCACATAGTAAAATAAAGTGTTATTTGTCTAAAAAATTTAAATTCGAACAATTATACCCGAATGATGTATGTTTTGTCGATGACAAAAAAGATTTTGAGCAAAATTAATTCTTATTCTAACCTTCAAACTCCATTATCTTCTCTCATAATAATATTATAAATTGGAATATAAAAAATAATTACAATATTTAATAGAAAAGGCGTACATTGAATTTTCGTAGAATTTTTTGGATGTGGAGCGAAAATAAGGATTAAATTGAAAAAAATATATAATAAACATAAAATAATATTTGGAATGTCATCAATTTTTAAAAATATATATTATATACATTTTTTATTTTATTTAAAAATAATTATGAAAAATATTATACACATTTTTATTTTATAGAAAATGTCAATACCGTCATAGATCATTCTTACCAACTCACTTTCAAAATGGATATCGAATAAATCAGTATTTTTTAAAGAGAGGTCAATTTACTCAATTTCAAAATTGATAGGGACTTAGAGAACATTTAAACCAAAATATTTAGTCAATTAACTATAGCTTCAAAATTGATAGAGACCAAAATATTCACATTTCAAATATACAGAAACTAAAATATCTCTTGTTTGCAGGGTTTTTAAGTTATATATCGGGTCGGGATCGGGTGAAATCTTGTTTTGGTCGGGTCAGATCTCGGGTGAAAGATTCCTTCTTCTCGGGTCGGGTCGGAGGTGGACCAAAAATCCGACCCATGCCCATCCCTATGCCTGACCAATAACCAAAATTATGATTTGAATGTAAAATTTCGGTTAATTTTGTTGGTTAACCGAACCAGATATTTTCTAATTAGCCGATTAACGAAACCGAAATAAATTCTGATCGAATAATTTGATTTAAACAAATAAAATCCCTCGCCATCCGAACAAAAACACATTAATTTTAACCAAGAAACTAAAATTAATAAAACAAACATCAAAAAATCACAAACCAGAAAGATCAATTATGAGTCTCAAATTTTGGGCACATTTTCAGGAGCAAAGCATATAGCTTTCTACAAGCCATCCACAGGCCACATGCACAAGATAAAAAAGAAGCAACAATAATTCAATAAACATTGGGAGAAAAAAGCAAATGCCAAAACCAACCTAGCTAGCAAAACATCTAAAGCACACCCAGCAAAGTGGTCTCCGACAGTGAAATCTTATGAGTTTGGCTTAGGGGTACCTCGACGTCGTTTAATGATTGATCGACTGAAGTCCTTGAGTAGCAAAATAACGAACGTCCATGTCAGGGTCCTCACTCAGCTCAACCAAGCATGGTCGAATC